ATTGAATGCCTAGCTGCTTTACTCACATTATCTTACATAGCTCTTGTTATAGGTAGGGATTATGTTCCCATTTTAAAAATGAGAAAACTGAAGTTAAGAGACGTTATGCACTTGTTCAAGGTCAGATAGTAGAAAGTGATGGTCAGGATTCAAACACAGTGATAAGTCCCGAAGCCCCACTCTGTCCCGCGTAGCCTCCCTCACGTGACAAACAGTAAAATAGAATTTGAACTACTTATTAGTTGGTGAAGAGACAGGATTGTTACCTTCAATTCTGCAAAGGGCTATGAGGAGAAGTGTTGTGTGTGACTTCAGAGGAGAGAATTGAATGACCTTAGAAGTCTCAGGGAAGTAGATTTTTAGCTCAGCAGAAGAACATCTCAGTGACAGCAATAATTGGGTAAGAGGCTGACTCCCCCATGCCTGGAGGTATTCAAGCATGGTCAAGAGAGGCATTTGCTTATAGTGGGCAGGAGATCTTGGTGGAGGACCTTGAGGTTCACTTTTGACCCAGAGGTTCTATGAGCCTATGAAGCTACTTGGCACAAACTGATCAATCCCTTCAAAAGAAGTGATGAAAATATCTGTTGATCTCTTTGCAGATATAAAAGTAAGAAATTATATGCCCAAGTAAAAAATGTATATACACATTTGTCCAGAGAAGACTAAACACAGAAAAAATGAAATAGATTCTGCTGGAAATGCTTATACAGGTTAAGCTTTTATTTTTTGAAAACAACAAACCAAACTCTGGCGAGATGTGCAATCTTAGAAATTATCAAAGGAAATATAATGAGGTACTAGTTTTCACCTAAGTTGGCAAAATAATTTAAAACACAGTCACACTCATTATATGTAACAAGAATGATTTAAAAAAAAAAAAAAGTCATTCCTTTTGACCCAGGTAAAATGACCTTAAGAAAATGAGAGAAAATATAAAGGGAAAAATGTGCACATGAAAATCTTCCCGAGTTTTATTTATAAATAACCTAAAAATTCAAGGAAGGGCAAATGGGCCCCTGGGCGGTGGGCCAGAAGCTGGGGCTTTTCTGCGAGGGGAGACAGGGGCCCAGCTGGTGTGCAAAGGAAAATGCCATGAACAAGGAGCACTGTGGGAAAAGCACAGGCTGTCTGGAAGGCCAAAGGCAGGTATGAAAGCCAAGGTCACTGTGTAAGAGGTCAGAGCAAGTTGGAGACTGGACTGTGGCACACTCAGGGGAGGACTTGAAAGGGTGTGGGGAGAGAAGAGGAGAGAATGTCAGCTCTAACCTTGCTGGCCCTTTATCTTCTCTGGCTTGGCGCTTTAATTACATTCAGTACTAATAGCAACACCACAATGGGATGTTATTTCCTCCATTTGCCAGCGAAGAAGCTGATGTTCAGAAAGATGACTATGTAACTCATGTCAAGTGAGGTAGTAAGTGCTAGAGTTGGCAACTGAACTCGAACGCATTGACTTCTAGACTCAGGCTCTCCCTCCTGCCCTAGATGTACTGATTTGTGCAGTAGGGGCCTCTCAGGAGCTGGCACCCCTCCTCGTTGGCCCCACAGCGCAGCAGATGGCTTCCTCAACTATAGCTTGATGTCTGTCCGCTTGGTGGATGTTGGAACTGATGGTTAAGTTTCCTAGAGCAACAGGGAAACATGATCCAATGGAAAGGAAGGATGCAAACCCGAGCACATGCTCTGGTCCCAGGTGTGTAGAATACAGTCTCACAGCCTTGAGAAAGAGACAACAAAAGACCCATTGCAATGCTTAGAGGAGTGCAATTGTAGAATGTTTTCCCTATTTTTCAAAAAATTTCTATGAAGTAGTTTTTATTTCTTTATAATTACAAAAGAAAGTCATAATTTAGAAATGCATCCAAGAAATCCATGGGTGCATAATGGTCACTAATATCATTCCTCAGCTAGAAAATAAAAACAGGCCACATCTTTCAGTGTCATCTGGTGACAGGGAACTTGTTGCCAAGATTTCTGAAGACAGTGCCCAAACCTTATCAATTCAGGCTCTGCCAGTTGAGTCCTGACTGTCCTGTCCTACATGACTTACTCGCCTGTCACGGGAATCAAAAGAATGAACCTAAGTGCAAAGTGAGGGGATGCTCACTGGTGCTGAAACTGAAAGTCACCTTCTGCCTCATGTCCAGCTAACCAGCACTCAGCAAACATGAGAGGGGTCTAGACAACCTTTTAGGGCAGGTCCTCAGTTATTTAAAAGGATATTTATTCTCAGTTAGAAATATCATCAGGCACTTTAAAAGGAACATGTCTTTTTACTTTGGAAACACTTTTGTTCCTTGGTTAAATCAAGTCTTTTTTTTTCTAATTACTTCTACTAGATTAGTATTATTCAAGAGTGGCACTCGTGTTCAAATACGTGTCCCTAGCCCTATCCCAAGCTTCTTGACTCAAGCTCATTAAGCCATGACCCAGAAGTCTATTATTTTAAACAGCTCAGCATATTCTTAATATTGGACACATTTGGGAAACTCTCTACTACACAAAGTGAATTTGAGTTTTGTGTATGTATTTAATGTAATAAAACTCTGCATCCTTTTAAATAGTACTATAGTTCCTTCAAATGGCTTGAATTAATGAGACCAATTACTTTCCATTGATTTACTTAGGTTGGGTCTCTCTAAATATACACTGAAATTACATAACCAGAGTCAAAGCCCAGACCATAACATTCCACTCATCTTACAGGGAAGAGGTAAAAGGGTAGATTTTGTACAGATCCAGATTCTGGTCCAGCTCCACTGCTGACAAATCTGAGACTTTGGCCAACATGTTATTTAATCTTCTCTGAGCCTGTTTCTTCATTTGTGTGGGTATAGGAATTATGGCCTTGCTTGTCTGACAGTAACAGGGCACTGAGTGCTCAAGAGGGGCTCAAAACCATTTCAGTTTAACTCGGCTGTGCACCTCTCCAGATTCCCCATCAGAATTGGCTTTTATGTCCTTTCTCGTCACATCCCACTTCTGGTTTTATTCTGCCTTATAAGCTAAAAGTAACTAACATCTTTGTGGCTCTTTGAGGTTTTTGGAGGCCTTTTTTCCAGGTGTTACCTGGCATCCTCTCGACAACTAACCTGAGTTAGGGATCATGATCTCTCCTTTAAAGAAACGAGCCCCAGAGAGGTTAGATGACTTTGCCAGAAGTGGCAAAGTCAGGATCTGAACTCAGATCCCAGAATCTTTCATTACTGTTCTGTCCCTAATGTGTGCATCATACATTATACAAAGCACTCAATCTCTCATAGCGTTTTTAAATATATATTTCTATGACTACTTCCCCCACTAACTTAAAAGCACCTATAAAGCAGGTACCACATTGTAATGGTCTTTGAAGGGAAATACAGTTTCCACGTGTCTATGTCTTCACCATTGTTAGGGAGAAAAGAGGATGAGCTCAAGAATAATGCATACTTTTTCCCAGTCCGTCATGCATCCTGCACTACTCATGTCCAAGCTGCCTCATGCCTTTGAAACGAACCCATCTTCATAACATGGATGTACTGAACACTACTAAGTGTAACAAACTTTACTCATGAGTTAAACTGTGTCACTTAGAAAAGTCCTGTTGTTGTTATTACTTAGTTATTCATATAGCCTGTGAGGTAAACATTATTTTCCTCATTATACCGATAAGGATCCTGAGAAGTTAAGTGATAAGTCCAAGATCACACTACGCTCATTTATGGAAAGTTGGGGGAATACCATACAAGGAAACTCATATGTACACATCCTATTAGCAAGCATACAATATTTCACATTATTACAAAGGGTTATTTTATTTACTAAAACAAAATTCCTCACAGAGGCAGCCACTTCCCCTTCTTATCCCAGCGACCCTGACCTTTTGCTTAGAGACCACCAGAAAAACTAGGGGCTGAAGTTTTCCAACCAATGCCTAAAAGCCAATGACCAGAAATGAAGAAAATAACAATCGCCAACATTTATTGAACACTTTATATATAGATATATAATTCTTATAGCAAGTCTGCAAGGTAGATACTATCTCCTTTTTAAGGAACAGAAAATGGAAACTCAAGAGGTTAGGTTAAGCCCAAAGCAAGCAGGGGAGCCAGGATTGGAAGCCAGGTGCTCAGCCCCAAACCCTTGCCATTTCCAATACACCATGCTGACTTCACAGGCGTTACAGAAAGTGCAGATCAACAGGAAGATCGAATGTGGTTTGCCAGATTGTGCACCAGGCACCTTAGAGAATCAGTTACTGAAGGAGATAAAAATTATGTAACTCGAAAGATCATTTTAGATATAAAAGGATAAACGAACTGATGCAAGGTGACACTGCCCCCTACTTCCTGAAGGTAACGCTGAGCCGCATCTCACTTTACCGCCCCCTACACCCTTTCACAGAGATTGATTCAATTTATCAAGGAAGTTGGATCTCAGATCATCTTGAGTGAGAGAGGCGTCTGGTCCTAAGATCTGTCCCTTGAAGTAAGAGAAAGTAATTTGCTTTCGAGACGGCCCTTCACATCTGCAGATCTGCAACCACACCCCTTATGAATTTTCTTGCTTTCAGCCTGAGTGTTCCACTTCTCAAAGGACACTGGTCACCTCCACTGTACACTTAGTATCCTTAAATAAATGAGGATAATGATTGTCTACATCAAAGAGTTAATGAAGCTTTATTATAGAACAAAATAGAGGAACAGAGATAGAAGTCCTTGAATGGTAAAAATATTAGTTCAAATTCTCAGTCAAGAGATAGGAAACTCAGAGACACTTTATCCCCCTCCAGAAAGACAGTGCTTCCCCATCCCCAGAATGACACTGGCGCCAGGTTGCTGCCTGAGTCTCAGCAAATCCATTTGACTTCTTTGGAATGGGAAGTCCAAGTTCAGGGCAAGCCGATGACCCTGGAAACCTGCTGGCTCCCTGCCCACATGCCACCATGCACGGTGGGGTCTCATCTGGACGGCACCATTGCCCGCAAATCACAAGCCACGCAAGGAAAACGATAAGGCTTTATGAAAAATCCAAAGTTTATTGCAAATTGTATTTTGCTTCCCTTCGTTCTTCATTTTTACAGGATTTATTGATATCCATGATTTTTTCACAGATGTACTTGTTGACTTTGGAGAGTCTCTGTGCAATTTCAGTTTCATCCACAGTTTCTTGTGCTATTCTGTCGTACAAACACTCTAGACAGGGGAAAGGAACAAGACGGCCAAGGATTAATGGCGAATTAATGGTGGATAATTTGCTCCCTTAAGGGGAGCACAAAGAAAATGTACCTCCTGACATACTTCCCAAATACAAATTCACGTATCTGGCACCGTGGTATGTTTAAGTTTTCAATACAAATGTACTTAGGAAAAAGTAGCTATATACTGTAAGTTTTCACTTTAAAAACAATGATACAATAGCCATGTGCCCACTACCCATCTTAATAAACACTATTAGGCCCTCTGAAGCCCCTGGATACCCCTCCCCATCCCATCCTCTCCTCACCCTTCCCGGATGTAAGCACTCTCCTGGATTTTTTCTTTTCTTTCCTTTTTGTGTTATCACATATGTATACATTCTTAAATAATATATTGCTTACTCTTCCCTGTTTTTTAACCTTTTTACAGGTATATCCATATCTTATGTATCTTTCAGACTTTCTGTTTTTCACTCAACATTACATAAGTTTCGTGATTTACTCAAGTTGAAGTGTGTGGCTGCAGGTCATTCATTTTCACGGATGGGTAGTATTCTCTGGAGTGGACTGTTCCACAGTTTGCTGATCCATTTTATTGTCAATGGATACTTCGATTACTTCCAGTGTTTTGCAATCACAAACACCTTGGTGCATGTCTCGTGGGGTACACATGCAGGAAATCCTCCAGTGAGGGCCCATCTGTGGAACTGCTGAACGCTAGGGTGTGTGCATACTCCACTTTACTAGGTGATGTCTAGTAAATTGTTTTCCAAGGCGGTTGTGCTGCCCGGCACTCCTAACAGTAGTGTATGCAAGTACTGGTTGGCCCGTATCTTCAAAAGCACTTGACATTGTCAGGTTATTAAGGTTTTGACAGCCCGGTGGTTGTGAAGTAGGATCTCAACGTGGTGATTACTAATGAGGCTGAGGACGGTCACTCTTACCGTGTCTGACATTTGCTGTGATGAAACAGAGAGAGAGCCCCAAAGAAGGTCCCACAGGAGCCTGACTTCTGCCCACTTCCTAGCCTGGGCACCTGAGGCAAACCATTGCCCTAGATTCCTCACCTCATTACCAAGAACAACAAACCCCAGGTTATCTTTAAGGCTACCACGAAGCATGTGAGATAAACATTTTGCAAGCCTCTTTAAATCTTAAAGAACATTACGCCTGTAAGGAGTTGTTACAATTATTTTATGTACATACGACTGTCCACTCTCAGGGCCTAGCACAGTGCTGGCAGAGGGGCAAGATTCAGTAAATACATGTTAAGTGAACAAATGAATACTTGTCCAGGGAAACTCCAGAGGTCATAAAAATTCTGGACATAATGGGACTAGGGGGGTGCATGGAGAATGTACCAGTGGGGTATATAATCATGGGCAAGAATTTTAACTTCTTTGAACCTGTGCGTCCTCACCTATAAAACAGGAATGAAGTCCTACTCTAAGGAGTTGCTATGGAGGATAAACAAAATCTTGTCTACCAGGCCAGCCCACAGCAGGTAATCCTGCTGGAGGTGCGGCACATCAGCACTCGATGGGCCCATGGGGACTAACACGTGGCATATGGGAAAGTAGAGGCCTGGAGAAAGTTCAGGCAGGGTCCACTGCACCTTCCCCAGCACCGAGCTCTTCCTGGGCGTGCAGCCAGCCTACCTCCAGTGCCAGCCGTGCTGCAGGTGCACGTGCTATGGGGGTCCCGTATCCCAGGCGCCCTCCCCTCCCCACGGAGAAGAGTTTGCACGGAGAAGCTTTTAAGAGCTTTCGGTTGACCTCCACTACTTCCTGACTACTCCCAAGCTACTTATCTCCACTTCGTCTTGTCTTGGCCTTTCCACAGGGGCGGAGACAGGAAGGTTGGAGGCCCCGTCTCTCTCCAGTCCTGCCTTCTGCTTGGTCACCCTGCAATTCTCTCCTGCTCCAAGCTATCCCACAAATCAGTGTCTTTGATCATCTCTTCCCCGATTACCCTGGCTCCACCCTGCAGCTGCCTAAATCCTATTCATCCTTCCAGATTCAGCATCCCTAGGACCTACCAGATCACACTGGGAGACCCCACTCTGCTGATAGCTTCTGCACTCCCACACTTGCCTGGCTCTCTGTCTCAAAACACTGCTCACGGTCTAATAAAACTGTGAGCAGTGTCTCCGCTACAGATGGGAGTGCGTGGACATTCTGTCTTCAGCCCTGAGCCAGGAGGAAGAAGATACTCACGGTGACTTTGCTGGAACCTGAACCAAGTGAGGGAGACAACTTGTGCTGAGAACTGTTTCGAAGGCCAGGAGTTCGAATCTGGCTCTTGCCCTAGTTGCTGTGCAACCTCTAAGCGGGAACCCGTCTGGGTCTCAGTTTTACCATCTGTGAAAGTAGGATGGCAAACCACATCCAAACAGGATCCAAGGAGATTCTTCCAGCGCTAAGTCTTTAGCTGTCTGGAAGGTAGTAGGGTGGTAAAGAGGCTGAGGAGAGAGAAGGGGAGAGAAGGAGAGTGGGTGTGATGGCCCTTGGAGCCCTGGCAGGGGTCACAGAAGAGGCAGGAAGAGAAAGGGGCAAATGGAGGAGGGTTTTCCAAGAGGCCTCCCCAGAATGCCAAGCGTGCCTGTGTCCTGGGGGCAAGAGCGCTGAGCGGCCCCTGAGGTTGATTAAGAGGCTTTGTTAGACTCTAGGTATTAATCACCTGCATTTGCCGGGAATGTCTCCCTCTGTGAGGGAGCATTTGAGATTATTGCTTAATTAACAAGGTTTATAACAGCGCTAATGTGTCCTATTAAAAAAGTTATAAAAATTAACCAGAACTCAATGCTGTGGTTCATTTAGGAAACTCAGACATTCTGTAAAAGGTCATTTGACCTTAATAAGGTTTAACTGTCATTCTGGAGCTCATCATTAAAGCGAGACTCTCCTACGGCCCTCCTGCTCTGCTCTCTGCGTTTGCAGGTGGTACCAGCGCTCACCATCCGACTGCCACCCAGTCAGGAATGACTTTAAAATCAAAGAGATGAGAAAATCCTCATGAGAAAGGGCTGTCAGCAAATGTGACTAAGTGTGGTAAAAGTGAAATAAACACAAGTAATCTCAGTCCGCAGATCGCTTGCTTAGAAGGACCAGTCCAGTGCAGTCTGGAGGAACTCACATAGTTAGGCTAAAAATAGTGAGTTATGGTGGGATAGGAGACTGACTTCCAATCTGCCTGCTTGTAGTAAAGAAAAACCCAACGCTGCACTTCGTAAGACAAGAAACTTCTGGGACAAGGAAGTCTGAAAGCCTCGTCTGCTTCGCTCCAACATAACCAGTTGTATGGTCTTGGGCAAGTCACCTTCCTTCTCATCACCTGCATGGCAAGCATTTCTGGGCTCTCAAGCTTGCTACAGGACGCCCCTGGGGGGCAAAGATGCAGTAAAAAGAGACCAGAGGTGAGCATGAGGGGCTCTGGGATATACGACAGAAGTGTCCACCCACCCTGAGAAGTCAGGGAAGACTTCCTGGAGGAAGGTTTTCTTAAGCAGATTGGGTGGTTAGTAGCAGCTAGCCAGACAGAGCAGCCCGGGTGCAGGGTGGGTAATTGGTCCAGGCCCCAGGAATGGCATTTACAAACTCCCTGATGTTAGAGGGAGCAAGCCTTGTTCAGAGAGTACAGTAGTTCATTAGGGCAAGAACTCTAGGGGAATACTGCTGAAAAATAAAGCTGGAGCGATGGCCAGGGGCCAGGCTATAAAGGTGCTTTTGTGACACGTTAAGAAGCTTACCTTTTAATAGTGGGCACCACGGGCTGGCTGTGATGGGCTGGTGGTGACAGGATCATGTCTGGTTTTTGAAAGATCGCTCTGGTTACATAATGGAGAGAGGAGTCTGGAAGCTGCCCGAGTCATGTAGGGGAGAAAGGATGGCCTACGATGGCCCAGTAGGGCAGGGAGAGAAGTGGGTGGTTTAAGACGCATTTGGAGACAGAAGAGACAGAACAAGGCACGTGGAGGAGTCAAGCATAGGCATCTTGGGGTCCCTGTTGGTGGTGTCCTTCACCAAGACAGGGGGTCCAGAAGGGGCAGAAGGCTGTGCGGAGAGGAAAAAGGAGAGAGTGGTGAGGGGTGCATCATGCCAGTGTCACGGGGGCACCCATGAGGAGACGGCCGGTGGGTGCCTGGATGTATGGCTTGGGAACACAGGGGTGTGGACTGAGCCAAGGATAGATTTGGGAACATTGTTCACTGATTCAGCAAATGTTTACTGAGCACTCACTACCTGCTAGCCCTGAACAAGATGCTCATAAAGCTTATATTCTAGTGGGCTTGGGGTGGGGGAGACAATTCCTAAGTAAACAAACAAGAAATGCTATGCAGAGACTTTATGTAGGGTGATGCTGATGAGACAGAGAGCAATGCCAAGGCTATGCAGTCGGGCCGCTGGGGAAGGCCTCTCTGGATGGCCTGAAGGAGGCGGGACTGCAGGGCAGAGGGAGGGCACTGCTGACAGTGGAAACAGGAAGGTGGTTGGAGGCCCCTGCGATTAGAGCACAGCAGGAAATGGGAAGCAAGGTGTGAGCAGAAGGCAGAGGGGTCCCCAGAGGCCAGGTCGCCAGGTGTGAGCCAGGACAGGGAGTGCGGATTTCAGCCTGGGCCCTGGGAACAGTGGGAAGTGAGATCAGCTGAGGAAAGCTTTGTGGAGAGAGGGGACACTCTGGGGACAGAGGACAGGGCAGCAGAAGAGGAGCCCACAAGGGGGATGTGAAGCCAGGGAGGCAGGAGGCAGTCGAGCGTGCATTACTGAGGAAGTCCTCAGTAAAGGAGGAGTGAGGGGTCCCATCAGACAGTCTGGGGAGGAGGTGAAAAGCGTGGCCCGGATCGGGTAAGGCAGAAGTCCATGGGAAACTTGGCAAGAACAGACTAAGTAGAGGGTTAGGAGTGGACACCAGACAGCAGGTGCGTTATAAGTGACCACAGGCAGTGAGTGTAGACAACTACTTAAGGACCTGAATGTGAAAAGGAAAAGAGAAACATGGAGCAGCCAGGTGGCTGAAGTGGCCTCCAGGGAGTGTCTTCATAAGAAACAAGTGGTCAAGGTCTATTTAAATGATGCCGGGAAGGAAGTGGGAGTGCGAGAGCATAATTGGAGGAACAGGGTACTTAGGAAGGCAGGTGGGCTGGGATCCAGATGGAGAGAATGGCTGACCCCCAAAAAGAGAAGGGGACTCTTCTTCTGGGACATGAGGCAGAAGAACAGAGGGTATAGTTAGGTATGCGGTCCGAACCTGTGGGAGTTCCTTTTCTTTTCTCCATGAAGGAAGAGGCAAGGCCATCTTCCGGGAAACAGAGAGGTGTGGACTACCATGTTTGGCAAAGGAAGTTTAAAAAGGGCTTGGAGGGTGCCTGGGTGGCTCAGTCAGTTAAGCTTCTGATTTTGGCTCAGGTCATGATCTCACGGTTCGTGGGTTTGAGCCGCGTGTCAGGCTCTATGCTGACAGCTAGCTCAGAGCCTGGAGCCTGTTTCAGGTTCTGTGTCTCCCTCTCTCTCTGACCCTCCCTTGCTCATGATCTCTCTCTCTCTCTCTCTCTCTCTCAGAAATAAATAAATAAATAAATTAAAAAAAGGGGGGGCTTGGAAAATAGGGGAGTGGATCAGTGAGGGAGACCTGGGTTTGAAGAACATGAGAGTGTGATGGCCCAATGCCACACAGCTGAGAGGTCTTCTAGATTGTTTTATAGCACTGGGGGCCCAGTTAGCTGCATCTGAGTAGGGCTTAAGGAACATTCAAAATGTCTCTTTGGGGCACTGGGTAGCCAGGACAAAGACCACAATCCTGGCTTTATTGATGGAGACACTGAGCATGGGCTTGGTACTGGCGTTGTGCTAGGTTTGGGGAAACAAAAGTGAATATGGTATATGAACCAGGGTAAGCTCAAAGTTAAACCAAAGCAGAGCTGGGGCTGAACCCCAGGCTTTTGATACTGGGTTCCCACTGCTACTTGCCATCACCCTGCCCTGGGAGAGGATGGGAGACAGCCTGCAAGCTGAGAAGCACTGAGCAATGGTGAACTTCAATAATGTGATCATCAAGGTCACATCAGCTCAATGGAGGCAGCTCGCTTGTCAAGAAGGAGTGGTAACTTCTTTTCATACTTAGAACATAACTATTTCCGGGGCGCCTGGGTGGCTTAGTCGGTTAAGCGTCCGACTTTCGCTTAGGTCATGATCTCGCGGTTTGTGGGTTCGAGTCCCGCTTCGGGCTCTGTGCTGACTGCCAGCTCAGAGCCTGGAGCCTGTTTCAGAGTCTGTGTCTCCCTCTCTCTCTGACCCTCCCCTGCTCACGCTGTCTCTCTCTCTCTCTCTCTCCCCTAGAAATAAGTAAAACATTAAAAAAAATTAAAAAAAAAAAAAAGAACATAACAATTTCCAAGCTATAATCCTAGGCAGCCCTTTCAGTTGTCTTAAGAGGTTTTCAGCTGAGGAAACTAAGACACAGAGGGGAAGTGATTTACAAGAAATCAGGAGGGTCAGTCCGGGGATCAGCGTGTTGGTCTCAGTGTTTCATTTGTTCAAACTTCATTTACTGAGCTCCTACTGTGTGCCAGGCCCTGTGGTAGGCAACGAGGATGGGAGATGGATCAGATATGGTCAGACCAGTGCCTGAGGCAGACACACAACAGATGATTTTAGTCCACGGCAAGAAGATGGGGCCAGTCAGTCACTGGAAAGCACCTGGGACCTGCTGAGTCACATTCCAACAAGTATAATGGAATCAGAGGTTGGGCACCTATCTGGCAGGGCAGGGCCACATCCTCAGGAAGGCCTCTTTCTCAGGGGGACCTCTCTAGTGGGGATCCATTATTTCAGACAGCAAGCAGACTAAAGGTTACCTCTGACTGTTTAGAAATAAGTGGCTGCCTAAAAGAATTAGTCATGAGTCAGCCGGGCAAGGGAAGCAGCTGAACAAAGCCCATGCTAGAGTCAGGGCGGTATGGATTTGAACCCTGTGGCTCTAACCCGGATGATCACTTAGTCTGGCTGAGTCCTGCCACCTTGACTTCCAAAGCATACCCTAAACCTGGCCATTTTTTTCCTACTCCCACTGCTATAACCTTAGACCAAGGCGCCATCATCTCCATCCAAGGCTACTGCGTGAGTGTCCTAACTGAGCTCCCATTGGGTCACTCCACGATCTGCCCGTCTCCTGTGGGGAGAATAGATCCAAGCTGCTAACTGCAGCTTTCATGGCCCTCGAGACTGCCTCTCTGACCTCGCTCTCCCCTCACTCATGGCTCTGTGGCCGGCCGGGGCTGCCTCATCGCTGGAGAGTGCTGCCTTTGTGCTTCTTCACTCTGCCTGTTTTACCGCCCCTGAGACCTCCACAGGGCTGCTCCCTCCACCCCCAGCTCCCAGCCTCCTCAAGCAGGCCTGCTCCAACGCACCTCACACAGCTCCCTCTGTCCTGCCATAATGTGTGATCATGCTTCACTGCCTTCACCGGTACCTGAAATCATCTGACATATCTGTTGCCTGCCCTAGAACCTGCTCAAAATCTACATGTTGATGGAGTCTGCTTTCTTCATCGAAACATGGCAGCTGGACACTTAGAGACTAGGAGTCAGGAGCACAGCTTCTGAGGCCCATGCAGTCACCCCCTTCCCCAGAAATCTTCCTTGATTTTCCAGTTAGGGGGTTTCCTCCCCTCCTGAGACCTTCCTCAGCATGTCATGTGCCCCTCTTTCCTGCTAGCAACTTGAACTGTACTTGTGTCCACAGCTCATCTTCCCGCTGGACTTGAGCTCTTCTGGGACAAGGTCCATACCTGTTCTTGTGTTCCGTGCCCAGCCCGGGGCCTGGCGTGGAGAGGCTTCAGTGTCTGCTGAACCAAACTGTGTCTAGTATATTCCTGACAGTACAGGACAGCATCTCAGCCATTGCGTTTGTACTGCAGTGACCTACCTCTGACAATGCTTAGTTTGTGAGGCGAGAGGGGTGGCTTAGGGACTGCATCTTTCTTTTTTTTTGTGGCAACTCCTGTGACACTTCTGTTCTTCAGAACATCTGTTCCCCAAATCATGACTGCCAAGTTCTTTGTGTACTTGGAATCTCCTTGGGTTACTTGGAGCTGGTGCCATTTCTCCTCATCAACCCAAATCCCGCTTCCCAGATGGACCTGAAAGGGATAAGAACACAAGCACCTGTGTAGTCGGACAGGCTGGCAGTTGGAAACTTCTCTTGTCCTTTAAAAGACATTGATGCACACCCATAAGGGTCTCTTTCCATAAACATTATGTTAACTTTCTTTTAGGGAAATAATAATCATTTACTGGATCCCTATAATACACCAGACTTTATTCGAGTATTATATCCACTATCTCAAATCTTCATGGCAACCCTGGAAGGAAAGTGTTGGGACACTATTTTCATTTCAGATGGAAAAGCTGGGTTGAGAAAGATGAAGCCAGTGCTGAAAGTCACTCAACTATTAAGGTAGCAGGGATGGGATTCTAAACATATCATGTTCTAACAGGGCCGCTCAGAGCCTGAGCCAATCTCAGAACACGTACGTTTCACTACTTTCTCTGTTGCACTTTAGAAAGACCTCTCTCCCTTTGCTGTGAACATGCTGGAACACACATGCCAGTATAGCGGTTCTCAACAGTGGTACACGCGGGGGTTGTCTAGGGCTGTAAAAATCGCTAGTGCCTGGGTCCCATTCCCAGGGATTCTGAGTTATTCCTCTGGGTGGGGCCTGGGTACCGGGATAGGCGAAAGCTCCCTAAGTAGTACCAGTGTAGAGCTGAGTTTCAAAACCATGGCCGGCTGGAGCCAGGAGGTCAGTCGCCGGACTCTGCCATTAATTGGAGTGTGTTTGCACAAGTCCTTTCCCATCTCTGGCTTCAGCTTCCCACGAACTGAACTGGGAGAATGGGATTTCATCTCTAAGTTCCCTCTGGCTCCGAACACCTATGATTTTGACAAATTAAATACAACCACAGTGTCCTCAGTCTGATTCTGATGGCACATGGAACAGAACACGGCTTAGTGCTCCCTGGAAGGGAAGCTCTCAGAAGGTTTCAGGGCAGGGTTGGTAAATGTAAGAGGACTCAGAACGATCTAGCAATGAGCTACAGGCTTTCAAATTTTTTCTCTTTTCTGGCTCTTTTAACCACTCAAAAACCATTTGCTAATCATTACAAAATGGAGTTTTGACTTTGTCATTGCCATTTATGTTGTGTTTCTGCTGAGTCTATATGGTGGGTGGAAATGGCCTTTGTGGAGAAAGGGGGGAGGCAGCTGATAATGAGCTGAACTTTCTAAAGGTTCAGGGCTCTGCCAAAAAGGGCTCTGCCAAAAGTCCTTGTCTTCAGAGAGAACTGTAGGTCAAAAACATCATGTGGTCAGGAGACCTCTTGGGAGAGGTCCTGGCCTGAGAGGCCGCACAAACACCCACTCTGATGGCAGACTGGCGAGAACCACTGTTCAAAGATGGCTGAAGATCTTTCTACTGAAGACTGGCTTGGAAAAGAAGGTGAGCACACACAGATGGGAAGACAGGCCAGTCAGCAACACTTCTTCCTTCACCAATTTCTGAGGTTTTTCCACTATCCAAAAAGGAAAACAAAACCACCCAGCAACACAGCCCACCCACACGTGTCAGTAAGTAACTGATCCACCTGGCCTCATCTGCCCTCACTTCCTTTTGCTCACAAGATCATTCAGATCCCTGCAGGCCTGGTATCAGGTAACCACATCCACCTGGTCTTCCTGTGCTGCAAACTTCAGTACCACAAATCTGTTCATATGGCTCAGGAAGATAAGGAACTCTGGAAGTGAGATGTGCTGCCTGGGGCCAGCTGGGCAACACTGATCCAAGGTCAGGTCTGGCCTTTCCTCTGCAGTCTGAACTGCAGGTGGGCAGTCTGTGTGCCAGATCAGGCATGATGGGGACAGGTTTCCTGCTGCTCCCTACTGGGTCCCAAGTCATCTCCCCTGATGACACTCTGAAGCTACCTGCACAAGCTTCCCGAGATAAGGGAGAATCAAGGAATTTGAATTTGATTACATTCAGAATTAGAAAATCTTAGATGGAAGACGGCTTCAGTTTTTCAAAGACCTCTGCTCTTTTCCACCCTGGACCCTGCTTTCCTATATTCTTTAAAATTATTATTCTTAAAAGAGAGGTGACAGTCATTTTAGCCAATGGTCTCCGAGAGAAGGGGGACACTAATATTTTTTGAGTACCTATAATGAGCCAGATAGTGTACCCTCAATTTGTCTAATCCTCATAATGACCTTAAGAGACGGAAATAGGTAGAAGTTATTATTCCCACTGTATAGACCTGAATAGAGATTCAGAAGGACTAAATTACTTTTCCTAAGACATACTAGTGGTAAATTTTGGAATTAAGATTCAAACCCAAATCTGTATAACCCCAGAGCACAAGTTTCCCAGGCCTTCTGCTGCTGCCAGTGTCACGGGGGAGCTACTGTGGTGGACACACAGCCTATCTAACACATCAATATCCCATGAAGTTTCTTTCTGAGTTTTCCTCCGCGCTGGCCCAGCCACTTCCCCTGCCAGCACCCACTGCAGGTCACTATGGCAGGCAGGGAAACCAGAAAAAGTCATGGCCTGGACTTCCTGCCTCCGGTCCCTGCTGCCTCCAACCCACCCTATAAACACTGCCAGATTAGTTTCCCTAAAACACAGCTTTCCTTCTTTGACTAGATGACTTCCACAGCCTTTCGACTCTGTGGTTCTGTGTGAACAATCTGGAATCTTGAATGGCTCCCCCTTTCCTATCACATCAATCCAACCTCCCCGGTTGGCTTTAGAGGCCCTTCAGAATCCTCTTTCCATTCAACTTGCTAGCCTTTATTCTCCTGCTATGGCCATCATGATGAAGCTCGCAAACTCTCTCACTTCCCTCTACTTTCAGTGTGCGGTAACAGAAAGAAGGGTGCTAGAGTCTTCAGCCCCAGTTGTGAATCCTGGTCCTGCTACCTACTAGCTGGGTACCCTGGGCTAGTCAGTTTACCTCTCTGAGTCTCACTTTTCTCAGGGGGACAACAGGCAGAACAGCACCTAACTCACAGAGCTGTTCTGAGGGTTATATGACATAACATGAATAAAACGTCAGGAGGACAGCACACACCCAGCAACTGTTACTTCCTTTGCCTTCTCCCTAACCCACACCCCTAGCCATGTCTCCATTCATGCCTTTCCCCTGACCAGAAATGAATGCCTTCTCTATGTTTTCTTAAGCCTGCTAATCTTTCAAGCCCCAGGCCCCAAACCAGAAAACACTCTTTAACTGTTCCGTGGCAAAGTTCTATCCCCTCTGAATTTCTAGCCTTCTGTGAGACTTTACCACCTGATTCAGTCCTTCACAGTCCACGGGGATGTACTGAGGCTTTGCCTTTTCAGTCCCTTTCAAAATGATCAGGACTAGCCTGAACACAAAGCAGTAAGAAACGGATGGGCATAGTTAATATGTTTTAATGGCACAAGGCTTTCAATTCTGATGAGCTGCTGTTCCTTAGAGAAGAAAATATGTTCTGACAGGAACTTGAGTATAAGGCCAACTTTACAGCACAGAAAGAAATTGCTCTGCATAAGACCAGTCACAGGTATATGCGGGACAAGGGCTCCCGAGGTCAGCAAAATAAGGGTCACCTGGAACAATGCCCCACCTTCAGAGATGCAGCAGAATAGACTAGAAAAAGCACAGGGCTGGGAAACAGGAGACCTGGCTTCCAGTTCCTACCTGCCTGTTTCTAACCTGTTCTATGATTAGAGAGGAGCCCTTCGTTGGGCGTGCTTCCCCAACTATGCCGTGTATAAATTAGACTATGTAAACTTTAGTGGTCTTTGCAGCTTTAGGATTCAATGAGTTTTTGAAGTAAAGAAAAGCAATGAACTTTATCAAAATCAGAAACTAACTTTTGTGGCAAGCCCTATTATACACATAAACCATTGTTCACTATTTGACCAAAATAGTCAAATGTGTCAAGGGAGGCTTTAAAAATATGGCATCTGGTAGGATGGGACTTGATAAAAAAATGGCTTTGTGAAATGTTTTGCAGGACAAAACTAGTTTCCTACTAGGAAATGGATCCCATTCTAATGCTGTAGGCTTTGTGGAGATTAAGGCTTTTGTTCATGCAGGCAGAGAAGAGAGGGTCAGAAGGGACAGCAGAGCCAAGAACAATGAGGATACGGGAATGCTGCTCTGGGAAGCTGCCATCCATTTCTAGTCTGTCCACTTCCTTTCCTCTTCCTTCATAAATTTCTTTGCTGAACTACAAATCAGTTGCAAACAAAAGTCAAGTTAGTTTTACAGCAACACGTTGGCAACAACCAATGAAAAAACAAAACCCCGGCAATTTCAAGATCTGTTGTGTAACTCCCAGGAAAACATTAAATGAGGTTTGAGACACTCATTTTCTGGAAATGGAAAAATGATACCTTTGCAAAAGAGGCCCCCATTATGCTCTGAAACTGTCCATCAGTTTTCAAAGGAAGAGAGAAATAGTCTTCTCGTGGAAGCTACTTTAAGAGAAAGTCTCCAGTCACTCTACAGTGTGGTCATCACTAAAAAGAAATCAGCATAGAACAGTCCTTTTGTTTCTTTATCTCCAACTGGGGAAGATTGACTCAATTTAGATACACACTTGGAGTGACTATAGGCCCATGGAGAGCATGAATCCGTCCCACCTCGCACAGATGGAAACCCTGAGGCCCAGAGAAGAGGAAGACCCACCCAAGCAAGGTCACACAGAAAGGACAGAGACAGACCTATGCTCAGCATTCGGGTTCCCGGCTGCCTATTTCCACTCTGGCATGCCACCTCTCCCCTGCAAAGCGGACTTTTAAAGACTGTTGGCTGGAGCAGGTCAAGACAGAACGGGCGGATGAGCTGGCCCATCGGTTGTGCCTCTGCAGGGGAGGCAGTGCTCAGTGGGAGATGAGGGTGTGGCACCATATCCAAGAGAGCCCTAACGACTAACAGGTTTCATTTCCACAGTGGACAATATTTGCTTTTTGCCTCAATCTGGCCAGTTGCAAGGATATATCTGGACAAACCCAAATAAAACAACCTTCTCTTTCTCATTGGCCCATTGGGGAACAATACCGGATAAACAGGGGCCTTCTGAAGCACAAGGCAAGAAAAACAGACTGACACAGATGATTCTTTGGGGCGAATGAGAGGTGATGTCTGTACTGTATGCCAGGGTGGCAGAAATATAACTCTAAAACTGAATTTGACCGGTGCCTGGACAAAGGGCTCCAATATACTTCTTCCAAGATGAATCCATTTGGATGTCACAAGGATGTTGGAACAGTTTTCTACCTGCCCTGCTGCTATGACACGTGACTTTAAGACTTTTAAAGGCTATTCCAATAGTTTTCACCCCTGTACTAACAATCAATAACGCTTAAGTTTTCTTTCATGTTGTTTTTGTCAAGGGCCTTACAAGGAAGTCTGAGGAGTTATATGTGGTCCTAAGACTATGGCTTAACTGCTGCTGAATATACAGCCTGGAAACAGCTTAGGGATAAGGAGCGCTTCTCATTTACCAGCTTATCTTTGGCACCTAGCACAGGGCTTAGAACATATAGATACTTGATGAATGGTAAACTGATACATACTGAGTTATCTGTCAATCAGATATTTTATTTCTAGTACACCTTATAAATTTTATGTGTCTGGTTTTTATAGGACGGTAGGACAAGTTTCATCAAACCACCCTGTGTTTTTAAATCTTTCTCACTACCAAGCTATTTTAAAATGTCAGTTTAGTTTTATAGTTGCTTTGGCCCAGTATTTAAAAAAAAAAAAAAAAAGGAAGAGAAAAAGAACAAGTCCCAGTTTAGCTCCACTGGTTAGAACACAAGAACTCTGGAAATAGTTACTGAGGCCCGGGCCAGGAGGCCAAGTGGCCACGCTGTGTCTCAGGAAGCTCCCACCAAACTCTCCATCATCACTCTGACTAACAAACACTTGCAGGGAATGGATATTGAGCTTGAAACACTACCTTGCCATTGTCTAGGATATACTTGTCCATGACAGGTGCAGGAGCGGGGTAATAGGACGACGTATTTGCTTCCTCACTGAAAGTGCTCCGTAACTCCGGCTCGGGCTCGAGACATTCTGACTTTACTTTTTCCAAGTCAATGGCGGGACCTAGGCAGTTAAGAAAAGAGATCTGTCTAGAACTCCAAGGACAATAAAAGGCAAATATTTTTAACTACGCATCTATCAGCACATAGTGGCACAAAATAAATATGCTGGCTTATTTTGTCCGTTGGACTATACTTAAACCCAGGCTTGAAAATAATATGAGATATGAACGTCACAAGGGAAAAGGTAGAAAACTGGAAGACAAGAATGAACAAGACTCTAATTAAGTATGAATGAGAAGCAGTCTTTGAGGGTGTCACTGTCTGAATGGGAATGCAGGGGAATCAACTTCCTGCTCAGAAAAGAGGTCCTTTTAAGAAGGGGGTGAAGAAGGGGTGGCACTTGCAATATGCAAATTGTGTCTTTGCTAAAACCCCACCTCCGCAGTGGAGTGGGCCACAGCCTAAGAACAGAGGTTAGGAAAGCAGTGGGGACAAATGCAAAGGCCTCCCTCTCCCTAAGACCTAGAATCTACCTAGACAGGAGGAGCATTTCAACCAAGAAATTAAAATACAATACAGATTAAGCTTCTGATTGCCTGATCTAGCCGCTACCCTGATTTTTATTTTAATGCAATCAACACAAATTACGTGCAGCTTAAACAGTGAAAGGAAGCTAGATAAATGGTGGTGGTTTATAAGGGGAATATTTTTTCTTCTCCATTAAGCTTTTAAAAATGATGGACTATTTTTTAAATCACCTATTGTGTCTTGATTACCAAAGGGCAGAGAAACAGGATGAAAGTGAGTAAATAAGGTTGAATGACTTGATTAACTGTTGCAGGAGAGCAACTCCAAAGGCCAATGGAGAGCCCAGTACCCTGGAAATGTTCCCAACACAAACATTTCACGAGCTGTCTGGGATCTGGGATTTAGCTACTGTTAAAGGGGGTTCCCCGGGCTATGACTATACCTGAAGTAACTGATGAATTTCATGGTCCAATCTTCCCTTATCCTAACTATGTGGATCACTTGATAAGGAGCTCTTCATTATACACTAAATAACAATCTGGTTCCAATTCTACGGTCAGTTGCTACACCCCAGACCTTGACTGGTGGTAGAGAAGGTATTGGTGATTTTGTTACTAAAATTTCTCATGACAGGGCTTCCCAGAACAAGAATATCATTCCTGAGTTGCTGGCAGTAACCATCTGCAAGACAGAATCTCTGTAGTCTCCAAGGATGCAAGCATGAGTCTTATACAAAGCAGAATGCAGCATGGCTGGGGAGCAGAACAGTGCAGATGAAAAAGCATGGCTCATCTTGGTAGAGCAAGTTTAGGTCCTATGCCTGACTCTGCTGTTTTAAGTGTGTGACTGCAGGTGAGTGAACTGAAGATGCAGAAGTTGGCAGAGTGAAGGACAGATAGCATCAGAACTGTCCTGATGGCGTCTCCTAACACTGTGTGATCTATGCAGGGGCCAGGCCCGGGTCTTGCTCTTCTCTTTGCCCCCAGTACCCGGCATGGAATACCTAGTCTCTGAATATTTGCTAAATGAATTAAAGAATGAATGAAAAAATTCTACAGTTTCAGAAGCAGATGCCAGCATTTCTCTTCTCGCTATGTGAGATCTCAGGTTGAATTTCTGAGATACAAACTCAAGTGGAGCATTTGATCTTTTCTGAGATCAGGGCAGAGGTAATTACTCCAGTTTCCCCTAAAGGGCATGGCCCAGTTGGCATGTGAAGTCTCTTCCTGCTCTGACATTCAGCAACAGGAAAAGCAGCTGGGCTGAGAGGATGAGGGCCCTGTAGCCACTGACTCACAGGTCATCTTCGGCAAGATGTGCCCCTCCTCTAAGTTATCTTTTTGCTTCTAGGAGAGGAAGATGTTGGATAAGAGAATGAGTCCAGTTCAGCTCTGACTTTAGTCCAGTTCTCTCCCATCCATCTCCACAATGGCTGCCAAAGAGATCTCCTTAAAACTGAGTCCTTCCTTGCCTACACCTTCCTTCCTAATTACCCTCAAAATCAGGCCACACATTGTAGCCTCCTTGAAGCCCAGAACAACCAGCTTCCTCGCTAGCCCTGGTGCTCACTTCATGCTCTTGCCTGACACTCACCTCTGCTCAGCGGTCATATGCCCATATGCCATGCTGTCCCAGCCTCTGTGTCTCTGAATGTGCTAATGTCTCTGCCTTGCGTAATGCCAGGAATGGAGCTTAGGTGTCTCCTCTGAGAGGCCTTGCTCTGATCACTGCCAGGTAGGGAGACTCTCTACTTTGTAAGCACTCCTAGCAAATTCTGTCTGTAATCATCTGCCAATCTGTCTGTTGTCCACATTAGACTGTGAAGCTCTCTGAGGGCAAAGTTTTATTCTCTGTGCAGTCTTGGCAGCCAGAATACTGGCTGGCATACTGTGGGTGGGCAGGGACTTAAACAGGCTAGGGCAAAGGTTCTGAAATAAAACCGTGCTGCTGAGTTGAGGTGCTCAGGGGTACAGGCTGGGGTGGGTGAGAGCGGTTCTTGAACTACTGTGACCTTTCCGGTAACCCACGAAGTAGAACTTAGGTCTGTCAAATAGAAATTGGAAACAGCTGACAGAATGGACGATTCCGATGGCTACAGAGAGACATATAAGGGGCATCAGGACGGAGGGTTGAGAGACTCTTCTCTGGCTCCACCCTCTGCTGCCCCCTTGCCACATGCCCCCTACCTCCCAGGCAGACTCCCCTCCCGTGTGCCAACCGGGCCTTCCCCACACCGTTGCTTCTGGTTGCCCAGTCCGTGCTTGTGTCGCTCCTGCTGTCGGATCAGTCTACCCCACAGACGTCCACGTCCACCTTGCTGAACTCCACCAGGACCTCAAGACCTGGCTCAAATGCCACCTCCTCCATCTCTTCAAAAGGAGAAAACAATTTTCTCCACCCCTTGGCTTGGAATTTGGAGTCAGAGACTGGAGTTTAAATTCTGGATTTCCCGTTTACTGTTTCGGTGGGTTGTAAGCTTCCTCAAGTGGGTGAGCTCTGTCCCCGTGTGGACCCCTCAACCCCATATAATCAGATGCCCTCAGCTGTTTCTAGACCTGTCTCCCCGCCTAGACAGTGAGGCCTGAGGTCAGGCAGGGACTGTGTCTCCTTATTTCAGAGACCAGGGCTCAGCACAGTGTCTGGTTCACATTCTATCCTCAACAGGTAGTTTCCACATAAATGATTACTTAACTTTGTTGGCCCTGTTGCCTCACTTGAAAGAGGGAATGACAACAGACACCCGGCGAGACAGAAGATTCAGTGAGTGGACCGCATATATGAAATGATTATGCCAGAGTCAGGTGTGGAGTGGGTACTTGGTTCACAATGCGCACGCCCGCTCCACCTCCCTCACGCACAAATTATTCCTGGATTGTTCAGTTAGTCCACCACTAAACCATGGCCTTGGTGCATACAGGCCAGGTCCTGGCCCTCCATGGCACACCCGTGCTCCCTTGGGCTCATGCAGTCTCCTCAGGGACTGCTGTGTTGGGCTCTTCCGGCTCTCAAGGAAAACTATTTCCTACCATTGTCCGTCAGCACTGCTGCACAGCCGGGGGCTGCCAGGTGTCAGCACTGCTCTCTGCAGCTGCCCTGTCTTCAGCACTGCAAACAGAAGGTACCTGGCTCCGCAGCCTCAGCGAGGAGGGCAGACCTGCCAAAGGCACACCTTGAAAGGGATTCCTCAGGGGAACTGGGAGTGAGTCACAGCTACATATCCTCAGACAACTCACCTCACCTCTCTGTGCCTTAACTTTCCTACCTGCAAAATGGGATTACCAATGGCCACCATGCAAGCTGATAATGCTTCTGGAGGAGCCCAGCACCGAGGTAGGCACAGAACAGAGGCTCGGGAAATGGCAGATAAACAAAAGAATGAATCTGTGAGTAAAGTAGGGTGTTCAGTATGATAGAATCGGAGAGATAAGGAACAAAAAAAGCATGTGATTTCTTTGGGGGAGAAGAGGGAGGGCCTCTAGTGCTTTTAATTTAAGGGAAGGGGGAGAAAAACATTTCATTGCAAATTTTAGTCGGCTCTACTACCGATGCTGGCAATTTACATCTCATTACAACAAATGCCTCAGATTGCTGTTTTGCTTTTAAAAATTTCTGAGGCATTGTTCTCCTTCAAACACATGTGACCAAATTAGCCACAATAATAAGCACTTGTGCTAAGAGACAGCATTGTACGATCTGGTGCAGATATTTTAAGTAACAAAGGAACTTTTTCCACTTTGTGGGAAGAGTAGGAATTAAAAAAAAAAAAAGGCCTTTTGATCCACTTCAGGTTTATTTTGGGGAAAATACACCTTCCATGGAGAGAAGCCTCTCAGCTGGGTAAAGGAAGCTTTTACAAAAGCATAAAAGGTAGTGTTTGTCTTTTCATTCAGTCATTCAGGAACCCATTCAGTAGCAATCCCTGAATGCATACCCAGATCTGGGGCCTGTAAGGCACTGGGACCAGGAGAAAATACAGCATTGCCCTGATTCTGAAGAAATTGAGAATTTTACATGTGAAACTCCATTTCTTTGCATACAAATAGCTGTGATTTGACAGACGAGCATAGGATTTAGTTAGAAAACCTGGTGCAAGTCCAGGTTCTGTTATTTGTTTGACCTCTTTAAGTCCCAGGGGCGTGTTCCATAAGATGGGAATCATGGTGCAGAGAAAGGGGCTTGATAAATGTTGGCACAGTGAATAAATGAATTATATCTTTCTGATTTTGTCTCGCTTACGTTACACTAATGCTGTTCTTCCTGAAAACCTTTCTAAGTTTGTTAGAAACTTAATTAAAAAGTTAATGCTTGTGTGACTTCCAGGAGGTTCAGAAGTCATCTATGTCTTCAAAATATGTGTATATGTTTGAACAGTAAATACTATTTCTGATTTCTGCTGAAACAGAAAGGCTAATAATATTAGACTTCTCTTAAAACATACTGAATCATTCCATTTACTTCTGCCAGTGCATAGGACGTTTCTCTGCTACAGGTATAATTCTAGTTTCTTCCTAAATGCAAAGTCAATCAAGTCAA